GAATTGATTGGGTAATTGCGTTGGACCGTGGTCAATTCTCGCTCAAGCGAGACATCCATCGCTTAAGCGAAGAAATTTATAATCGATTATAATTTGAATTAATCGATCATAATTTTAAAATAATCGAATATACAAAATTATGATCGATTATTTCTTTCTCGCTCAAGCTAAGAAACCCTTCGCTTGAGCGAGGAGACCTGTAACAAATGGGTAATCTCGGGTCAATTCTCGCTCAAGCAACGGGTACTTTCGCTTAAGCGAGAAGTGATTGAAATATGTGGTGACCCAAGTTACATTATGTGGCTAACTGCGTTGGACGTTTAGCCTGTGGTCAATTCTCGCTCAAGCTTCCAGACACCCATAATACAGTAAAGAAATGTAAAGAAACAAAGAAAAGAAACTAGAACAATCAAACCCAGATTATGCAGCTCCTGCAGAATGAGTTTCTTCAAAACTTTTCACAAAACTTTCTAAGTTATTTTAACTGATAACAACAAGTTTTAATCGATTAAAACAGTTAGCAAAAAGTTCCTTAAGTAACCTTTGATTTCATCAAATCCACAAGATCTTCTTTTTATCAAATGATTCAATAAGATCTTCATCACTTTCAATTAATTGAAAAACTCCTAAGTTTCATACATTGGGACATGTTCTTCTGCTATGACCAGGGGTATGACAATATGAAAATTTTTTAATCCTGCTTTGATTTTCTGTAATGTCCATCTCAGTTCTTATACGACTTGATTTTGGTCGGCCCTTTGAAGTTCTTTTCATTTCTGGATTTGCACACAAAGTAGGTCCTGTGCATGTTGGCCAATATTTTTCATTTCGCAATAACCCAAAATGTGTTATGTATACCTTTGAAACTTGTTGTAAGGTATACACTGAATGAATATAGTTGTTGAAGTCATGGTGTGCATGCTTGCATGCAGCAAGAACATGTGAACAAGGCATGTGAAATTTTTGGAATTTCCCACAGTCACACCACAACTCATCAAGGCGAACTGCAAATTTCCCTGCTGGTCGAACTTCACGCGGGTTTTGTGTTTCTTCTACTACAAATTTTGGGTAGACCTGTCAAAAGTTATGACCCTATGCGTGTTTGCCTGTGTTTTTGCTTCCTCTAAATTTGTGACCAAAATTTCAGAGTATACATGATCAGCATTGATCATGGCATCTATCTGCCTTCCTCTTTCAATGAAAAATTTGTTGCAGCGGGTGTACGTTGCGTTGACCATGGAACAAATAGGTAGATTTCTTGTTTTTTTCAAAATAAAGTTGATAGACTCTGCTATGTTGATCGTCATGTGGCCCCAACACCGTCCATTGTCCCATGCAAGTGCCCATTTTTCTCTAGGTATCTCATCCAACCAATTAGCTACTTTTATGTCACATTGCCTCAAGATGTTGTAATAATAATAGAATCGTGGTTTAGTCATCCCATACGCTACAACAATATTAAAAAAACATAGTTAATATAAATATTTATTAGCAACAATTAAATAATAAATAAATTGTAACAAATTTGAAGCAAATGGATTACCCATATTTACAACATCTTTCCTTAGTGCGGTATTTTTGAAACGTCTCATAAAATTTTGTGCAATGTGTCTAATGCAGACATGCACTGAATTATTTTCTGTCCATCCGCTTCCATTTCTCATGTATGCACTTCTAATGGATTCATGTCGGTCTGATATGAGGCATAATCCTTGTTGGGGTATGACATATCTTTGGAGGTTTTTTAAGAAAAAAACCAGGCATCACTTGTTTCACCTTCAACCACCGCAAACGCAATAGGGAGGATGTTGTTGCGGCCATCTTGTGCTACTGCAACCAACAATGTACCTCTATATTTTCCATACAGAAAAGTTTCGTCCACTTGAAAAATGGGCTTGCAGTGAACAAATCCATCTATGCATGACCTAAACGACCAAAACACACGTTTAAAAATATTTGAATTTTGTTGAAGGACTTCACCTTAGTAAGCTGGTTGTGACTGTAGTTTGTAGATGAATCCGAGAACAAATTGTTGCATGGCTTGTAACAAAAAAGGTAACTTCTTATACGAATCCTCCCAATTGTCGTAGATGATCTACACTACCTTTTGTTTGGCCAACCAGGCCTTCCTGTATGTTATAGTGTAACTCGTTGTTAATTGGATGTGGACTATGATTATGGAGATTGGTGTTGACGAATCAACATCAATTATTTGACCAATTGTTTGGGAAATCATTTTATATCCCAACTTGTTATGGTCTTGGCTGATTAATGGCGAAACGCATGTATGGTGCCCTTCAAGCTTCATAATCTCCCAATATTACTCTCTTGTGCGCAATATTGCTCGACATCTCCAATTGCATTGGTTATCAACACATTCAACAACATATCTACTTTGGTTTGAAATTTTCACCTTGTATGTGCAGTGATTGACAATGTGAAAGCAGTTGATGGCATCTTGAACTTGTTCTTTTGTTATGAAACGTTGTCCAAGAAATAGAGTTCCTGTTGGAGAAACAAAAGACTCTCTGTCCAACGCATGACCATACTCTAGGTCTTGTTGTTGAATGTGACTTTCAAAGTTAAGAAAATGTTGTGGTGGGTTGTATGGTTCCATGAAGTTTGGTGCATGTGTAGGGATATGTGGTTGTTCATCCTCTGAATCATCTTGGTGTTGGATGAGAATTTCATCTTCGTCTTCATCCTCACTAAAAGGATCAACGACTTCAATTGGGAGGCCAACAATTTCGTTCTCTTGTGTGGGTAGTTCTTCGTTGATGTTGGTGGAAGACCCACTTAGAAGTTAGGTAAAAGGGATATAGTCATTATGTGTGGGTATTTCTGGGTCAGTGTTTGGGAAAGCTTGGTAGGGTGAGGGTGAAATTTCTGGTGAGTGTGTGTTGGGGTATGAAGAAGAAGAAGTTTTAAATGAAACAAAAATTTCAATACCACATAGACTTGAGTTTGAATCATGAACATCGAACATGGCCTCCACGTCGTCATCATCTTTCAACTCAACAACAATGAAGTTGTTGATCCCAACTCCGAGTCTAGTTGGGTAGCGAAAATGGATGGTTGCTACATTTTCGTGGGGTTCTTTCTCCAATTTCTTGTGGATCAACTTCTTCAACCTTTGTAGAGAAATTCCTCTCTTTAAAGGAACAAGTTTTGCAGTCCCAGTATTGAAGGTAACTCCCTCCATGGGACATGGGTTCATGGAACCATCATAGTGGACAATAGTAGACACTACACCCATTTTAGGAGTGTGGAACAAAAAGAAGACTAAAGGTAAGAAGAAGAAATAATGCAAAGAGCTTCAAAGATTTAGGAGTGTGCAATGTGAGAACTTCAAAGAATGAAAGTGGTCTATTTATAATGAAGTCCAATGGTTTGAATCCAATGCTCCCTCACATGGTTTCTGACACACACAAAACCCAAGCAAAGTGGGTGGGTCAACATCTCTTTAAATATGCTTGGATTCTTCTGCTTTTGTCTAACCCAATGCAGGGAATCCAAGATTTGAATCCTAACTTGGGTGGGTGACTCAACATTGTAAATAGTTGTAGGTTTCCTCGCTCAAGCGATGGGTTTCTCGCTTGAGCGGGAATTGACCACATGCTAAACGTCCAACGCAATTAGCCACATAATGCAACTTGGGTCACCACATATTTCAATCACTTCTCGCTCAAGCGAAAGTACCCGTTGCTTGAGCGAGAATTGACCCGAGATTACCCATTTGTTACAGGTCTCCTCGCTCAAGCGAAGAGTTTCTTCGCTTGAGCGAGAGAGAAATAATCGATTATAATTTTGTATATTCGATTATTTTAAAATTATGATCGATTAATTCAAATTATAATCAATTATAAATTTCTTCACTCAAGCGATGGGTGTCTCGCTTGAGCGAGAATTGACCACGGTCCAACGCAGTTACACAATCAATTCTCGCTCGAGCTAAGTAACTTATCGCTTGAGCAAGAATTGACCACAGACTAAACGTCCAACGCAGTTAGCCACATAACGCAACTTGGGTCACTACATATTTTAATCACTTCTTGCTCAAGCGAAAGTACCGTCGCTTGAGCAAGAGTTGATCTTGCGCAAAATAATCGATCATAATATAAAATAATCGATTATTTTAATACGTGAACAGTAAAAAGTGCTAGTTATGGAAATAATGTTTAAGATGTGCTATTTTGGGAAATATTTTAAAAAATAGTATTATTTATGAAAAAAAGTCTACTTAACATATGTTTAGAATTTACTAATTTATTATTTTTAAAAATTAAAAAAAATATTTGATATAATGTTTTGTTAAAACAAATTTTAGAAATTATATTTACTTTTTAATTTTGAAAATTAAAAAACAAAAATTAATAAAATTTATTTTCTATTTTTATCTTTTACTTTTTATTAAAAATAAAAGTTAATAAAATATTTATTTATTATTATTTGTTATTAGTGATATATTAATATACCAAAAATTATATTATATTAAAATATTCCTCTATTCATATTTTTTTATTGGCTGTATTATATCTTTATCGGTCTAAGATAGTTTTTAAATTATAATTATTAATTACGTTTTTTAAATTATTTTTAAAAGTAATTTAAAAAAATAAATACTTTTTTAGTTTCCTTTCTTTCACTTTTTTTAATTTTTTTAATCACATCAAATTATATATAAAATTTTTTATCTTGTTTGTATCTCAATTCGGTATGGATGAACATCTATACCCTAGCAAAAGGAGACATGTATCGGTGGTAAAACAGTACCCTAATTAATTGCTTTCAGAAATAAAGACTGTGGTACTGCATACAGAGTCTTGTTTCAGCTATTAACTACACCCTGCAATGGATGGTTTATTATGGCGTCCCTATACACTATTCTTCCTTTGACATTCATCAATGGCTTCTTGTGAAGATGTTAACTTCAAAAAAAAAAAAAAAAAAGATACACATCGATTATACATCGTAGTATGTGGGTGTATGTACAAGTTGAAATGGCAGAAAAGGTTTGGTCCATACACAAGGTACTGCAAACACTTCAACTTATAAGTTAAATTCATAAAATTCACAAACCTAACATGTGTTTATGTCTTCTTATATATTTTTGTAAACACCTTATTAGTGTTTGTTTTCTTAGATTGTTGTCTAGATAGGTTATGATAACCCATCGTCGTGAAAAACTGGACTTGTATTACTTCAAATGATGATCGATTAAGAAACCCAATTAAGAAAGAAATTGAATGATAAAGAGGTGTATGATGATAATTCATGTCATGATGTGTATGAAGAAAGTGAAAGAAAATCAAATCCAATTCCATAGTCATCAAGTAGACAATAAAGAAACCCTTAACTTTCAGTCGAAATTAAGATTGTGTATGGGGTAATGAATATAAATTCTAGTTACTTTTTTGACTTCAAATTAATCGTTTCATTGAAGAGAATTGTAAAAATTGTGGTGGAAAGTTTCATATTGTTTCCTTCCTATTTCAATATTTATATGTTCTTTATCCTAAACAAAGGGCACGACTTTACATTAGGGTTTACTTAAAATAGTATAAAAAGTAGAAGTAAAAATTACCATTAAAACTAAGAAAAGAAATTTAAATATGATAAATGGAGGAAGCGACAAAATAAATTAAGTGATATTGATAATGTTTTGTAATTTCTAATTAACTTTATAAACATAATTTGTTCAAAATTAAAATAGGGTTAACTCCCATTGAATCAGGGTAGAGGGCAAAACCATGTACCACACAGTTCATGCAGCGGACGACAATATTTAATCATTTTAGTTAAACAATTAATCAAATTATACTGTAAAATTAAATTAATTTTATATAAATATTATATTGTTTTTACATAAATTTTTAACATTTTCCAATTCAACAAATCTATGGTCAATTAAAAAAAATGAAGGATCAAAATTAAATAAAAAAATAAAAAGTATAGATAATTATAAAATTAAAGACTAAAATTTTAAAAAATAGAGACCAAATTTTAACAAATATAAAAATCAAAATTAAAGTTAAACCTTTAATAATATATAGTATAGCGTGTGAATTTAAAGAGTCTATATAATTGAGTAAGAATGAAAGTTTAATATTACTAAATTAATAGGTTAATTTATTATAATCAACAAAAAATAAATAATTTAATTGATAATTGTTATAAGACATGTCTCCTCTCTTAATCTATTGAATAATTTTTTAAAAATAAAATTACGATGAATTAAAGTTATAAAGGGAATAAAAATAAAAAATGACCCTAACCATATTATTATAAACGACATGAAATTAAATATTCAAATGAAAAAATAATAAGCTAGTTTAATTTTTTTTAAGTTATTTTTGTCATTAATATTTATTCTGTCACCTTTTAAATGTTTGTTAGTGCAACCTCTTTTCTAAAATTTTGGTAAAAAAATAATTAACACACTAAATATTACGAATTTATTTCATAAAAAAAATACCACGAGTTTCATAAAAAAAATGGTAGGATTACCTAATATTTCTTATATCTAATTACACTTGCTTTTATTTGATTTAAATAAAAGTGTAACTTTTATTAAAGAGTGTAACTTTTGTATCAAAATTAAAGTGTGAGTTAACTCCGGATGACGGTAGAGGGCAAAACATGGTAGCATTGATGCATACAGTTGACGGCAATATCCTTTTGAAAAAATGAAACTTAATCGTATTTTTCTGGTTTGAGGTTATTTATTTTGTTTCCTTCAAATAATAAAATTATATTTTAAATTAAACAGTTTTGATCTAACTGGCACAAACATTCTCTTACCATCATTTTCCCTTTCTCACAATTCCCTTCTCTTATGAGATTTATTGTGTTTTTTTTTCCTTAAATATTATTGTACATTTTAATATTTAAATTTTTAATTTTTCTATTTTATTTTAAAATACGGACATTATTCTTTAATTTATAAATTATCGAAAAAAGTTATAATGATTTTTTATTTTAAGCGTAATTATTTCTGGCTCCTAATTGACGTGGGGGTTATTTTAGTCTTAAAATTTTAATTTAAAAAAATCATTATTCATTTTTTTAAAGATATTGAACATGTAAAAACCAATCAATTTATCACAATTGCATAAACAAATAAAAATATATAAATTAGTAGATTTGTGGTTTGTTTTTTGGGAAATTTTATTATTAAAAATTATGGAGAATAATGATAAAATAATTAAAATAAGTTATTTATAAACTAAAATTAATTTTTATAGAATTAAAAATATATTTTAAAAAAATAAATAATAAATAATTGATATATTATTTGTTTATATATATATATATATATATATATATATATATGTATATATATATATATATTATATTAAACCCATTAAAATATAAAAATATTTTATAATTTTATTTAATTAGAATAAAATAATTAATATATATTTCATAAAAATAAAAATTATTTTGTTTTAAATTAAATATTATTTGTCATAAAATATTTTTTTAATGTAATTTTATATTTTATGAATTAATATTTTATATTATTTAATGTTTTAACTGTAGGGATTATATTCGCTTAAATAATAAAAAAAGAAAAGCGTGGTAATATTATTATATTTAACGTGTGTTTTCATCAACATAAAGGTTTAAGCGCTTAATTATTTAAATAACTTTTATTGTTAGCAAGTTTTGTATTGTTCATCACTTAAGCAGGAGTTTGCGTGTTTGAGGTGAATGATGTTAACTAAGTAAAAAAATACATTTTCATTGTTATTTAAGCAAATTATTTTTCACTTAAGCTGTATTTTGCAACAAATTTTTTAGTCACAAAATGCGTTATGAATTAAATATAATTTACTTTGTAACGATTTGTAATGGAGTAATTAGTGACGTAACTTTTTATCAAAAAAATTTATCATTAAAATAAATAAAAATTATATATGATGATTTTTATGATGATATTTACAAAATGATAAATAATTATTACAAAATTTATCATAAAATTTAGATATTTTTAACTTAAACAAAATATATAATGGTGTCATAGATTTTGTTATAATTTGTGATGGATTTTATTTATCACAAAATAATGTCACAAATATATATATTTTTTTAAGCCAAGAGATGATGGACAAATGTTAACCATAATAAAAGACGATAAAATAAGGGAAGATAAGATTATGGTAGAAGGTGAGACTAAATAGAAATCACGATGAAAACACAATGAGGGTGAAAGAGAAGTGAACACAACGAAGGACGAGATCATGATTGAAAAGTTGAGGCTATAATGAACAAGGGAGGATGAGAACTTCTGTGACCGCATATAAGAGGTACGATTACATTCACAATGGTGCTAGCTCAAAGTGGATGATGACATTATTGGAGGAATAGGAGAAAAATTACATTCTCAATGGTGCTAGCTCAAAGTGGATGATGGCATTATTGGAGGAATAGGAGAAAAATGTGAATATGGGAGAGACATAGTTCATAGAGAAGAGGAATAAAAAAAATAAAGTTAATAAAAAAGGATTTAAGATTTTAGGGTTTAAAGAGAAAAAAGAATAATCATTTCATAATATAAAAAAAATTATTGCGAGAATTATATAAACAAATTTCTATGTCAATTTTATTATAACTGATGTAAAAAGTGATATTTAATATTTATTTTTGGATGAATGATATTGACTATTATCTTTTACATCAATTATAATACAGTTGAAAACTTGTTTTAAATAATAAGTTTGTTATCGTTTCAATTTTACATCTGTTTTTTTTTATATATAATGTTAAATGTCATTAAAAATGATTTATGTTATTGTTTATGTCATTTTATTTTATTTAAAATGGTTTTTAAAAATAGAATTGTGAAGTAAGATTATTTATCAATTTATTTATTTTTTAAAATTAAAATTAATCTTTACTATTATTTTTAAAAATAAAAAGGCCGAGGATGGCCTACGGTGCGTGTTATCTGAAGGGAACACGCTTTGATTGCCGGGCCCTCTCCTCGTTCCGCCCGCGGAGTAAAAAAACTTACGGTAACAAATCATTTTCCCTGCCGGAAAACTGGACATATTCTTCTTTTATGCAATTTGCGGGACAGATCGATCCTAAAATGCAGCAGTAGGATGAGAAGTAGGTCCTTGTTTTTAGCAGGAATAGTTCCGCGAAAGAATTTGACTATGAAAGTGTTAGTGGCAAATCGAGAAAAGCGATCGAAAACGAAGGAAAGAAAAAGCGAGAAAATATGCAACTGATTAATAAATCGATAAACAAAAAATCATTCGATGTCTAAATAGAAGTACGTAATACATAACATCGAGAAACACAATCGAGAATCGAGTGAATGATAACCAAATGCTTATTGTCAAATAAAAAACTAAGAAATTAGAGTTATATGAGATCAAGGTTAAAAAGAAATCGTAAGTAATTTGGAGTTCTCGAAAACATTAAAATGAGAGTGAAGAAAGCCAACCTAAGTAGACATCGAGACCTTGGCCAAACCGTGAAAGGGAAGAATAGTCAAACGCACATATAGGAAGCAGTTTCTAAACCATGATAGAAGTCGAAGATCGTGAGAACGTGGGAAACTGTAAAAGATAAACTACAACATGCACGTAAAACGTGGTGGCAGTTTTGTTAACTGCTCCTGGAAGGCTTGAATGATGCCCTATAAATAGAGCAAAGGAGGAAGGGACAAGGGGGCAGAAATTGGCAGAAAACAGAATTAGTAGTGAAAAAAAAAGTCTACCGGAGAAACGACGAACACCATGAAGTTTCCGGCAATCTGGATTTCCATGCTCACGGAGTACCTTTATCGCTTTCGTATTTTCCTTGGTAACTTACTTTGATGCAATTTATATTCAGCAATTTTATGTTTCTGTATTTTCGATTCTTGGTCATTTCAATTCAATGCAAGTTTCCGTATTTAAATTTTCTGGTCGTTTTACATTAATGCAATTTCGATTTCCAGTAATTCATTGTACCTTTGAGTTACTGTCCTTTACATTTGCAATTTCGATTTCTCGATATTTACATTATTGTTGTTTCAATTCCCTGCTCTTTTACACTTAAAGCAAATTTAAGATTTTCGCAGTTTACGTCTCCTTGCAATCTAAGTTTCAGCACTGCTTTTCGATTCCATATATTTTCTGCTTTCTTTACTTCGAGTATCCTGAATACAAAACATCAAAAAAAAAAATAGTACCTAGGAAATCGAGTAAAATTCGATCCCCATACACATTTTGGTTGAAAATTAACTTGCTAGCCTAAGCAAAAAGAACTTACGTGGTAGAATTTTGATTAGGATCAAAATATCTTAGGGGTCGAAATCGATCGAAATTCCACCAGAAACAAATTGGCGCGCCAGGTAGGGGGGACTTGTGTTGAAAAACACAAAATAGGTTAGTCCGAAAGTGTATGAGATTAAGGAGTGGGAGAATTATCAGTATGAGTCAAAATTCTTCAAATAACCAGAGTAACAGTGAGGGTCTGAATGGTGTACATTCACCAAATACTGGGGGGCAAAGTCATAATGGGAATATGCCTGTAACATCGACGACTACAAGTATGTCGATACCTTTGGGTAACGAGCTAAATTCAGGTACCTTAACAAACACCCAAGTAGGATCTAATGTGGTGGTACCAAATAATATGCAAACTATAGGAAACACCACAACAACATATGTAGGGCCATATATGAGTGTAAGACCTCCCGGGTTTTCACTTAATAACATGAGCGGGGCTGGAACTTCATCAACACAACGGAATTCGAGATATAACTTAGGAATGCCTCAAACGCTGGGCATGCCCTGAACTTTGGAGTCCCTCCGAATTTAGGAACATCTCAAAACTTAGTAATCCCTCAGAATTCAGGAAGCGGACAGAATTTAGGCACACAACAGACGCTTCCAAATCTAGATCATAGAGGAAATCTAGACCATAGAGGAAATTTGGAACATGGAAGATATACATTCGATAGAGATTATCATCGATCCAATTTTGAGACTATCGAGAACACTGGTACTGGGATATCCAGTAACTCATTAGGGATACTTAGACAACAAATGGATGAGAGTAATTTTGAGATGGTTAATATGTTATCCCAACAGTTGACTACAGTCCTAAACCCATTAGTTCAAAACACTACAGCTAGTTTTGAGATATTAGCAGATCAAATGCCACGAATCGGGGATGCATTGGTTGTACCTCGACGAACAAGGGTAGAAAATCATGCTAACCAGAATGCCAATATCAATCCCCCATATCTTTTAAGGAGAAATCGAAACAATGATCAACAAATGGGGAATGAATACCAACATGGAAGAAATGATATTTATGGAAATATGAATGAGGGATTTCAAAATATGTATAATCAAAATAACATACAAAATAATCACATGTTAGGACAAAGGATGAATTTCCAAGGGATAGAATTTAGACCACCCAACCAAACATACTTTGTGTCTCCTTTTCCAAACACGATTCTCGAGACGGAATTACCTCGAGGATACAAAGTACCTAAATTCACCAAATTTGCTGGAGAAGTTGGTGAATCAACTATCGAGCATATAGCTCGATATCAGATCGAATGCGGAGATCTCGCGATGAGTGAAGAATTAAAAATGAAATATTTTCCTAGTTCTTTGATTAAAAATGCTTTTACTTGGTTTACTTCGTTGCCACCCAATTCGATATATAATTGGCTGCAACTGGAAAGAAATTTTCATGAGCAATTCTTTAGAGGAGAAACTCAAGTAAGTCTCATCGACTTGATGAATATAAAGAGATACAATCATGAAAGCATAGATGATTATTTGAATCGATTTAGACGAATGAAATCGAGATGCTTTACTCAAATTCCTGAATATGAATTAGTCAGAATGGCCTCTGCAGGTTTAGAATTCTCGATTAGGAAAAAGTTAGTTAATTTACCATTGAATGATATGGCTCAGTTAGCTGATAAAGTGAGAAGAATAGAACAAATTGAATATGAAAAACAAAGATATAAGAAATTTGAGAAACCGATGAAGAAAGAAAGAATAGCATATATAAATGATGTGTATGAAACAGATCCCACGACAGAGAATGATGTGGAAGAGACTGTCGATGAGAAAGTAAACATAGCAGAGCTCAAAGTAGGAGCTCCGTATATCTGTAAAATGCTACAAAAGAATGAAGTAAAAGATAAGATGGCAAATCGAACATATACTTTCGATGTGACAAAGGCTGATAAAATCTTCGATATTTTATTAAAAGACAAACAAATTAGGTTGAGCGAAAACCATAAACTGCCTACGGCAGAACAAAGGAATGGTCGAAAATATTGTAAATTCCATAATATTTTTGGACATTGGACTAACAATTGCATACATTTCAGGAATACGATCCAAGATGCGATTGACCAAGGAAGACTGAAATTCGAAGAAATGTCGATGAAAGTGGACACGAGTCCATTCGAAGTGCAAGTGGGATACATTGAATCCCAAACGGGCATGACTGAGGATGTCCGAATGACGAATTCTACCTTTGTAGGCATGGTCGATGTTGCTGAAGACATTGATCCGAAACATGTTAGAATGGACGTGTCTGAAGAAGATATGGAATTCGATCTGAGTGAATTCGAGAAAGAGTTCGAAAAGGAGATCTACCCTCGATCAGGGGATTCCCTAATTGAGTTTTTGAATAGAAAGAAAGAAAAAGACGAGGAGGTGTCGTTATGCCCACGATGCAGTGCGGTGTTCGACAAATCGGCTGCTAAAGCTTTCAGGTTAGAACAGATAAAGAAGATCGAGAGTCAGAATAAAAGGGAAAATGACAAAGTGGATCAAACGGCCCGACCAATGATTGAAGAAAGTCAACAAAAATCCGTTGGTTCTGGTGTTAGCGGAAATCAAAGGCAATGGATCAGAAGAGAGATGTATCCTTCTCGAGGAGGAAAAGGCAGACTTCAGAGCCATGATGTCTTCGAGAGATTGTCATACGATGAAGGATCGAACACTGGATTCCCAAGATTCCAAAGGAGGTTCCGAGGAAGGCCCTGGAGAAGAGGAGGAAGGATCCCTTATTGGAATAATTATAGAAACTTTGAAGAGAATATTGTACCGATGGAGAGTCAATATGCAAGAGAATTCTTCGATGATAAGAATGAGGGTACTTGGGACGAGCATCAAATCGGAGTGATATCAATACTACCAGCAGAATATGTTAGTGAATATCAAGAGTACCAAGAATAGAGTGATGCCAATCGAGAAGATGACTTCTACTCAGAAAACATAAAGCCAAAGTTAACATGGGTTACACAAACATCATGTGAAGTACCTCATAGAGATGCTGCTTTTATTGATCCTCCATCTGAAGAAATGAGGTTCCACCTGAAACCCTTATTATTGAATATCGAGATACAAGGACAAATGGTAAATAGAGTCCTTGTCGATGGTGGAACAGCGGTAAACATACTGCCAATTAATATGCTAAAGAAATTTGGCATTGAACTGAAAGACTTAGTCAAGCATAATATTATGATTTCCGATTTCAGCGGAAAAACATCAAGTTCAGAAGGCATGATTGCCTTGGATGTGAAAGTGGGCACTTACTCGAGGCCTACTGTGTTCGTTGTGGTCCAGTCACATGCAAATTTCAATGCACTACTTGGAAGAGAGTGGATTCATGGAGTAGGGGTCATTCCATCTACGGCTCATCAGAAATTATTCATGTGGAATCGAGATGGACATCTCGAAGTAATCCCAGGGGATCAGCACGAATTTGTAACATTCGTCTCTCAGGCTGGTCGGGCACTCCAGAATCTGGCACTAGCTCAGCCATTCACCTTCGAAACGGTCGAAGATTTCAATTCAAAGTTACATGAGGAGCGATTCTTAGAGATGAATGAGAAGAAAGGATTTGTTATGATCAAAGAGGGGGCCAACCTCAAAGTGGCCGAGGAAGATGAATAGAGATTACGAAGGGTTCTTGGCTCGATTGAGACAGTACGAAGATGAAAAGAAGAGCCAAGAAAGTAGTAGCAGTAGTAAGGTAGGACTAAATAAATCGATTCATTCGACTTTAGTTGCAAATAAAAGCGATCAAGTTATGCTTGATTGTATTTATGATAATTCTCCGTTAGGT